CTGTGGCTCAAGCGGCTAAAGCGCCAGCCACATACACCTGAGCTGGCAGGTTTGAATCCAGCTCAGGCCTGCCAAACAACAATGATGGTTGCAACCAAAAAATAGCTGGGCCTTGTGGTGGGTGCCTGTAGTCCCAGCTACTTGGGAGGCAGAGGCAGGAGACTTGTTTGAGCCCAGGAGTTGGAGGTTGCTGTGAGCTGTGATGCCATAGCACTCTACCCAGGGCAACAGCTTGAGGCTCTGTCTCAGAAAGAAAATTAAGGGTTTGTTTTCTCTTTACTCATTTTTCAACTAGAATTACCTCACTAATTCAACTTTTAAAATTCACTCTATTATGAGGATCTATGAATTAATTTTTCTTTAGATGTTTTGTTTAGGATTTTCCTTTTACTGATCGCCAGCTGCTGTGAATTTGTAGAGTAACTCCTTGATCAGGACAGGAAGTACTGGATCCTGAATGGTAATGGGATTTGGGTGGTTTGGATCCTGGAGGCCATACAGAGTCACAGCAAGAGAGATTACTGGTCTCTCTGAATTTTCTTTCCCTCTTTTGTGAAATATGTATAAATGACACCAGGCTGTGGTTTTGTAAGGATGACAGACACTGTATAAAACCTTCTATCACATGCTCTAATATGAGATAACCAGGAATACATGACAGTTTCTACCCTTGCCACAGTTATGTGTTATTGAACCCATAACTACTGAGTTTCTTCTATGACATGGGGCCTGAGCTCCTTGCTACAGATTCAGTTGTAGGAACAAGTTAGACCAGGTGTTTGCTCTTGTGGCCTTTGCTTTCTAACAAGGAAAGTAACAAATAAATCTACAAATCAGTCAGAGATGTCAGAAAGTGGTAATTCCTGCAAAGAACATGAACCATCCACACAAGCAGATGCTGTTGTAGACGGGCTGCCCAGCATCCTGTACTCATATGAAACAGCTTGTGGTATGAGGTGCCATTTTAACTGTGGCTTAATAAGTGGATGGGCATACCCAGGGAGAGGTCCAGGAAAAGTGTTCTGGGCAGAGAGACAGCAAGTGCAGAGACCTGAGGGCAGATTCGAATTCCTCTGAGATATAGGCTTAAAATGACATAGCAATCTTTCACTCCAAATTATTCTTAAAGTTTTTCATTGATGTCTAAAAATTGTACATATTTGTGGGGTACAGTGTGTAATTCCCATACCTGTGTACATTGTCTAATGATCAAATTAGTGTAATTAACACATCTACCATCTCAAACATTTATTATTTCTTTTTTTTTTTTTTGGCTGAATTCAGGGAACTTTATTGATGTTACATGACAAGGTGGGGCTCCCTAGGCCCCTCCTGTTCTTTAGGGGGTCTGGTGTGGAAACTGTGTCAAGGGGAGACCTGTGAGGTGGGGGACTGAGTAGGCAGGGCACCCCAGCAGCTAAGAGCCTTTCTCTTCCTCTAGTGCTCTGGTTGGGACTGGTGGTCTGGGGGTTCTTACTCCTTGGAGGCCATGTGGACCATAAGGTCCACCACCCTGTTGCTGTAGCCAAATTCATTATCGTACCAGGCAATAAGAAAATCCTACAAGCAGCCAGATACAAGAAAAGTATTACCTACAAAGGGAAAATATCAGTATTAACACAGATGTTTCAACAGAAAATTTTCAAGCCAGAAGAGGATGGTCATCAATCTTTAATATCCTTAAACAAAATAATTTTCAGACCAGAATCCTATATCCTGCTAAACTGAGTTTCATCTGTGATGGAGAAATCAAATATTTTACAGACATGCAAATGTGGAGGAAATTTGCCATAACTAGACCAGCTCTACAGGAAGTACTCAGACCCATTCTTCATAATGACTGGCATGGTGGTCCACCACCAAAGTAAACTCACCCAGAAGTTAAAGAACAAAGCCTAGCTTTCATAATGGTGAAAGGGATAAAAATAAGCTCTGGACCTCTGAAAAACAAGATGACCAAAACTCCACCATACCTATGAATTCTCTCATTGTGCCCATTAAGTGGAAATACCCGATCCCCATCCCTCCTCCTTTATCCTTGCTCCCTCATTCTCTTGACCTCCCACCTTGAATTGATTTGAGTTTTTCTCTTATGTGAGTGTAGAATAGATTGTCCAGTGGCTTCATATTAGAATTGAGTATAACTGGATTCTTGCTTCTCCATTCCTGTGATACTTTACTAAAAAGAATTTGTTCCAGTCCTTTTCTGGAGCGGTTGCGTAGGTAGTGGATGCAGGGAGCCGGGCTCCGGGCGTCATGTATTACAAGTTTAGCGGCTTCACGCAGAAGTTGATGGGAGCATGGGCTTCGGACGCCTATAGTCCGCAGGGATTAAAGCCTGTGGTTTCCACAGAGGCACCACCTATCATATTTGCCACACCAACCAAACTGACCTCTGATTCCACTGCATATGATTATGCTGGGAAAAACAAGGTTCCAGAGCTGCAGAAGTTTTTCCAGAAAGGCGATGGTGTGCCTGTCCACCTGAAACGAGGCCTGCCTGACCAAATGCTTTACAGGACCACCATGGCGCTGACTGTGGGAGGGACCATCTACTGCCTGATTGCCCTCTACATGGCTTCACAACCCAGAAACAAATGAGTTAGGCTGCAGAGGACTGGTTTGCTTTTTGGCATAAACCCTTTGAATTTTCAATATTTCTGTTAAAATTCTTGTTTTACTTGGATGACCTACTTGACTTTTTTGCAAGAAAAACAAAGATATGAAGATAATATTTTGGTTTATGAAATGCTTATTTGACAGTTAAAACTATTGTTTAAAGAACTGACACTCTGCTCTTGTGTTTGTGCTCCTGATTTCCCTGGAGGTTCTGGATGAATGTTGTTCACAGGGTCGTCAACATCAGTCTGTGCTGAGAACCTCGGGGACTTAGGATTGCATTTTCAAGCGTAGGGTGCAGAAGGCTTTCTGGATTTGGATGTGACCAGGGAAGGGAGACAGATGCCAAGGCCAGGTGCATGAAATGAGGGTTCGAGTTAGCAGTCACTGAGGGGATTTTTCCATCTTGCAGTAAAATGTTAATAGCAATTATTTGTTGGGCAGTTCATTTCAAAGGGTTATTTGCCTCATCTCAGATCTTTTGTGAAATTTTATGTATAGTTGTGTATTTATTCCACCATGGGAACAGAGATCACCTGTTTAGTGTTGCACTTTAGACTGTTGTCTGTTAATGTGGCTGTGCCACAAATTCTCCTTTATCTTCTAAAATGTTATGGCTTTAAATTATAATTTATTTTGACAGTGGAATAAATATGTGAAGGAAAAAAAAAGAATATGTTCTGACTCCATCCAGGTTAATATAAAAGATGTAAGGTCTCCAATTTTTTTAATGTCTGAATAGTATCCTATGGTACATATATACCACAGCTTGTTAATCTGTCCTGGGTTGGTAGGCAGTTAGGGTGTTTCCACATTTTGGGGATTGTAAAGTGAGCTGCAATAAACAGTCTAGTGCAAATGTCCTTATGATAAAATGATTTTTTTTCCTTCTGGGTAGATGCCTAATAATGGGATTACAGGATCAAATTGAAGTCAAATTTGAATTCTTTGATGATTCTCTATACTTCCTTCCAAAAAGATTGCATTAGTTTGCCATCCCACCAACACTGTAAAAGTGTTCCCTTCTCTCCATACCCATGCCAGTATCTGCAGCTTTGAAACTTGGTGATGTGGGCTGTTTTCAGTGGGGTTATATGTGGGGTAAACCCCCACAAAAATTAAATGAAATGTGCTCTTTTAATTCCAGAAACTGAGTGAAAAGACTTGCGAGTATTATGCGCTTTTGTCGTGGCCCTAAGTGACCTGGGAAAACACGGTGGGGGCCTGCAGGCCAGGTGTAGAAACCTCCTACAGGGAACCCTGACTGTGTAGTCAAGTCAGCCTGCCAGATAAGGGTTGAAACGACCCATCTGTGCAGAGGACATGACTCAAAGGTTGATGTGAGTGAAAAGAAAAACTCCACTGTAATGATGTGAGTAAAATACTCCATCGTAACTGCAGGGTCTCCAAAGCCATAAGAAAACAGTCATGGAGCCTGTTTCTCAGAAATTTAATTGAGTACATAGAAGAGAAAGGTTTTACTCCTCTGTTTATCCTAACCTTTAACTTTATCAATAGAAGTTAGATAATGTATAGTTCTTTTAAGTCTTCAGAGAGGAATAGCCTGAGCCTAGCTTAAGATGGTTGTCTTACTTTCCC